TTTTTTTTTTATTGTAGGAACAATATCTTAAGTACTATTTATATGAAGGAAACAACTCATAGACAATATTTATCGGAAATATCTTGGCTAATTAAATATCAGAAATAAAAGAACACTTTTCGCGTCAAGACTTTCAATGAACTTTCGTTATTGTTTCACAACAATATCTTGGGGTTTATTGGCCAGCGTGTTTTCCTTTATTATCGTATTTTTCTTTGTTAATCTCAATTTATTTTTCTAACCAAAATACTAAACAAAGAAACCTATTCAAATGTGTGGGAAACGCCGAGAGCGATTTATATCCAACTTCCACTGACTTAAAACCACACAATGTTCGTATTTCTGTACCTTTTAATGTTTGATAACCTAATTAGACATTTCGTACACAAAATAGTACTGCGTACTACGAGCAAGATATTGAGGGCTCTAGGTCGTAGCAATGTAGCTACGTATTAGTGACGTCAGCAATCATCCGAATAATTAACAATTAAGTACAGCAAATACATGCGTTTTGATATCTTACATAAACTTTATTACGTATATTAATTATTATTTTTGTTTTCTGACTTATATATTTACTAGTTGTGGCCCGCGACTCCGTCCGCGTGGAATTAAAAAATATATAAGTTCTCTATGTGTTCTTCCAGACTATGTTCCATATGTATGCCAAATTTCATTAAGATCCATACAGCTGTTCCGGAGATACCTTCAAACAAACATCCATCCATCTAAACATTCGCATTTATAATATTAGTAAGAAGTAAGATTAAAAACTATTCATAAAAATTTATATTTATTTTTTAGGAAAATTTCTAGTAAGTATTTATTTTGTAGCGCTAAATTACAGTTTATATTCTTACTTTACGAAGGGACTTCGCAAACAACATTTTAATAAACTGTCTAACTGAAAGAGATTCTTACATCGCTTTTGTAGATAAAGGATTTTTTGATGTATTGCTTAAGGCTATTGCAAGAGGAAAGTATTGTTTTTTATTAATGTTACGTCATAATAAATTTTATATTAAAAATTATAAGACGTAAGGGTTTGCGTATTTTACTTTAAAAACGTAAATCTTACTAATATTATAAATGCGAATGTCTTAATGGATTGATGGATGTAGCTTTGAAGGTATCTTCAGAACGGCTAAACGGAATTTGATGAAATTTGGCATACATGTAGAATATAATCTGGAAGAACACATAGGTAACTAATTATGTTTTTTTCCCGCGCGAATGGAGTCGGGGGCGACAGCTAGTAGTTTTATAACGTTAGATTTATTCTTTAATAAAAAAGTCCGTTTTCTAGTATTATAGGAAGGAACACTAGAAAATGATAACTTTATTACGACATCTGCGAAGCTAATCAAATTGTCGCGGTTCATTGAATCAGACGAGACTCAATAAAATACTTCCCGGTGTAAAAGAAATGTAAAATATTATTAAATTTAATCGTCTTCCTTGAATTTTTTTTAATTTTTCGCTCGAATTTCAAATAAATTATGACACTCTGGAGTATAGACGGAATTAAGATACAATTTCAAATTTAATATTCATACTTAAAAATACAATAATCATGTCTTATAGTTAATTTTACCCTAAATCAAACTATTCAGGTCATTAAATGTATTAACCGTACGTAAATCAAAACGTAATTTACGAATTAATTTGGCACCTTTTACAATAAGAAAAATAAAACTAAATAATAATCCAAATACAATGTTCAGCAAAACAAACTAATGAATTAGGGCGTCCTAAATGCCAACTGAGGCGGACATTTGAATGACGCGATGAAGCGTTTGCTATTGAAAGCTGCTTCGATGTCGTTGTCGGCTGTTTTACGTTGATGGCTTTTCAAGGTGTATCCTACTAATAATATAAATGCAAATGTTTAAATAGATGGATGTTTATAAAAGGGTACCTCCAAAACGGTTGTGTGGAATTTGGTATACGTGTAGAACAGGGCCTGGAAGAATACTTAGGCTACCAATTAAGTTTTTCGTAATTCCGCGCGGAAGAAGTCGCGGATGACAACTAGTTTAAACCCAACTGGCTGTAGCAGTATAGCTACAAACTTTGAATAAAACAACATCCGAATACCAGAGAGGAATAATAAGGAGGGACTTGTTTCATACCATTTGACCCGGAGACATCTAAGTCAAACCTGTAACTCGAATAATTTGGTTTAAACAAGAAGCAGTGGCAACCACAATACATTATTTAAACTAGCTATTTTGTTCATTAAAACAACATACGTCTCAAATACAAAATCGGAACTGTTCTGTATTTCAGTTTACAATTTAGTTAAAGTTTTCAGTACAGTTGGAGTTTATTGGGATGTTTCGTTACTACGGAGTTTCAAGCAGAAATCCGTACTTCTTTTTGTTTGTTCTGGAACCCTAATCTATATAATATCTATCAGGAAATTACAGTGTGGTTTTAACGAACATCGTTAAGCCAAATTGAAAACAAACCGGACATCACTGTACCAAAGTTTTGGGTCCAATTACGCTTTGTTTCTGTACGGAATTTAGAAATGGGATATAATGGGACAAACTCCAAATATCAGTTGACACAAATTGGAATTATATATCGAAACGGATTTTTATTATATCTAAATGTAAGTACAAGTAGTCTAACTAATTTTCTAAATGCGAATATTTGGATGTATGGATGTATCTTGGAAGGTATCTCCGAAACGGCTGCATGGATATCGCTGAAATTAGGCGTACATGGAGCACATAGCCTGGATGAACATATGCTACTAATTAAGTTCTTTTTTAATTCCGCGCGAACGAAGACGCGGGCGATAACAAATATTTGCAAGTCGATAAAACTAATACATACATATCCATGGTATTGAAAAGCTTACGTACGTAGCATTTTACAATTGAAACAAAATTATTTTGTACAAATTCGAATAAATTTATATAACACAACAAAGTATTCACGCTAACAAGAATAAAATTACTCTCAAACTTAACAACGCAATATCATTTAACAATCAGAGAAAAGTAAGACGGGCTAATTATTTAACAACATAATTACTAGACATTAAAGTATGGGGCAACTTTATCTCTCGTTAATTTAAGAAGAAAATAGCTGTCGCCCACAACTCCGTTGCGCGGAATTAAAAAAAAAAACTTAATTAGTAGCCCACGTGTTCTTCCAGACTATGATCCACATCATTTTTTTCAGAGGGGAATGCTTTAGGCATACTCCATGCCTCGGGGAAGGCACGGTAGTTATGTGGGATTCTCTCCCCGAATGGGAGCATACCCACTAAACCCCTCTGTTCCCTCATAGCCACAATTTGGGACGCTACGGGATCGTGTTAACTTGCCACCGCGATGTCCATCTGACCAGCCTGAGAATAAGGCCCTTCAGGGCGCTGCCCCCGTAGGCGCTCCTCAAAGACAACACCGTGCAGGTTCGGGATTTATCGCCCTCCGCCGCTGGTGCCGCCAAGGATGATCCACATCTGTGCTAAATCTCATTAAGATCCCTAGAGTCGTTCTGGAGATACCTTCAAACAAACATCCATTCATCTATCCATCCATCCAAACGATGATGATCCATCCAAATGATAAGTAAAATGAAAAATTCTATATATATCAGTGACAGTTGAAACCCATATTGTTTACAAACTCGTATATTCTTTGATACGACACAAAAAAATGTGGGAATATATAAGAATAAAATTACGGAATGATTGAACGGTTTCCCTCGCCGTTGACAAAGCCCATAAAGTATCGGTCGGATAGGCAATATTGAAAAGAATAAAGGAGAAACACGTACGCTTATATTATAAAAATAATTACATTTCTTCGAATAAAATCTTACTAACATGCGAAAGTTTTATATCAGTAAGATTGCGGAGTACAATAACAATAAGGGTCAAAATCAAAAGTAAAAGAGTGTATAATATTACCTTAAGTAAAACAACGTTTATAGCACAATAAAGATGGAAATGATCGTTTGATGTAAAGGTCGTAAAGGTCATAGGAAAGTTTTGGTCGAGAATATTCATTTCAATAGCAAACAATAACAGACTCCGTAATGGTTTGAATTAAATGCTTTGTCGAATAATCATCAGATGAATTTGTTCTCATCTTCCTAATAATTTATACCACCACCAATTAACTGATTGTTAATGAATTTGAACAGCTTTATTTTAGCTATTCGTACTGAAATTTATTCGCTCTTATACATAAGGAGTAAATACTTATGCCCAATAAATCATTTATTTTCCTCTATTCTTTATTTCATGAACATGTTTTTTTTTAATTTTACTAAGAATTATTACTTGGTATAATATAGGACGTAGTTTCAAATGCCAATATTATAAATACTTACTGTAAAAGTTGATTTTTTTTAACTCGTTCAATATTTTCTATACAACAAATTGTTATGGTGTCATTTTTATGGTCTATGGCTAAGTCTTTATCTCACTTCAGATATCTTTTCAAACTGCAGTTAAAACTTAGCTTAAACTCATATATGATTTTCATATTTTACTTCACACTCTACGCCCTGCTACACACTCCTCTTCACTTTATTTTACACTTTACTTCAAATTGAACATTATTCCATAGTTCATGTTCAGCCATTTCGGATGGATAAAATTTTACACAGATTAATATCCCGAAAAAATGTACAGCTCCTATCAGATCAATTCTTTGTATGTCTAATAACCCAGTGACAAAATAAACACTTTTTTATATAATGATGAAGTAACGGTCAACAGTTACTTTAACAATTTTTTTACATCCACTTTTGAATTTTCCGCCAAAATTATAGGGTTTCCATAGAACATAAGGATGTCTTTTTATCTAAGGATTCTGATTTGGGACTGTATAAAAATTGTAATTTAAAAATAGCATTGAATCATTACCCTTAAATAATTGTATATTTTAATAATTTTATACATATCCGTACATTGAATACACACTTAAAATAGTTAAAATACATTGTGCGTATATGGATGTATTTGCAATCTGTGGTCTCAGAGCTTTCAAAAAGTTTTTGACTAACCAGTTTGACATATGAGTGCATACCGTATATCGCTTTGTATTGTGAATTTGCACAAAGAATTCGACTTATAAGGGTGATTTTATAATTCAAAAGTTATGTGAGAAAAAAGAAAAATATGGCATTCCTGTGTCCGGTTAGAATTCGAAGGGGTAAGAAGAAAAAATGTAAGTATTGAAAAGCTGTCACTGGAAAAACTTTGCAAGTCAATGACCTCAAACTTTCTATACATAAATATAAATATAGAAAACTAGTAAATTCATCTCGTTTTACAAGAACCTGTACGTCTGGATAACCATCACCGTGGGAAAGTTTTCGAAACAATTTTAGCGTTAATTGTTCTTACTAACTAATTCGTTCCTAATAATTGATTTATATTTACAATATAATCAAGACGAATTACAAATATTTCATAACATTGTAGAATTATTTACAATTTGCACAGGTCTTGTACAATGTCATTAAAGGAATAAATAACCTTACAATGCTTATTTTACTATGTTAAACGAAATTCAAAATAGAATTTATCTCAGGACTTACTACATACTATATTACTTTCTTAAAGCCAAAATTAAGACACAATTCTTTTTTTTTCTTGAATTCAAATTCAACACATCATGCAACACAACAATAATCTTTAACTAATTATTCAACAGCAAATAGTGGGGATTCTGACAAAGAATTATCAAGACCTGGCTCCGGTCTGAGTCCTGGCATGGGCAGGATCACAGGATCCGCTAGTATTGAAACTTTAGTGAGAGTTGGTATAGAGAAAGAACATGGACTCAGCCCCGATTCCAAAATGGTGGTGCTACATGACTTTGCACCATGTGTTGATGATGAATTAGAGGTTTGTAATATTTGATTACTATGTAAAATATATTTCATAGATAGAATTCACTTTTTATCTAAATACTAATATAAAAACATGCTTTTTATGTTACATCTTATGTAGTAGGATTACTTAATTAATTCTGAATCTATTTATTTTTGAATGTGTGATTGTAATTGTCTCTTATATGTAAGATTTGCATTGAATTCCGTCAGGTAAACTTTTAATACAATTTAAAATTAAAAAAAAAATACCATAATATTATATTCTTTAAGTTTTTAGTAAAATGTAATTAATTGCTTAAAAGTGTATATAGCAAGGAAAATTATCTTTAAATATTTCAGGTGAAGCGTGGCCAAATAGTAAATGTATTGTATCGTGAAAATGATTGGGTGTATGTAATAGTTGCGGAATCTCGCCGTGAAGGATTTATTCCACATTCATATTGTGCTCCGTGTGAACATCATGATTTGAAAAAGAAGTTGCCGAGGAGCAGGTCACCGACTGATTTAGCCCATAGAGATGTGTCTCAGTAAGTCATTATTAAACTATGTTTTACATATCTACAGTAAATTGTAATCTTACTAATATTATAAATGCGAATGTTTGAATGGATGGATGTTTGTTTGAAGGTATCTCCGGCACTCTATGAAATTTGGTACAGATTTAGAACATAGTCTGGAAGAACATGTAGGGTATTTGTTAAGCTTTTTAATTAGAAGGAGTTGCGGGCAATAGTTACTAAAATATAAAAGTTGTAAACAAATGATACATCTCATATTTCACCCTGTAAATCAGAATGTTATAAGAAATCTACAGAAGTAAACTGTTTATCTCAAAACTGCTAGAAAATTATACAAACAAAAGTGAGAGTCCAAAGGACTGCCATATATTTCTCGCTTGTAGAAGTCGTCCGTCGGGAGTGGACAATAACTTTCGCTTACATAGGTTTCTTGCTAAGAAATGAATGAACTGCTATTATGAAATATATTTGTACTTTACATGGTCATGTGTGATACTTTAACTTATTACAATCTGGATGGTGGCCACTTTAAAATTTCAGGTGACTGCTCTCTCGTTTGTCAATCTGTATTATAAAAAAAAACATATACTATTTTTTCAGACTATCTCTATCAGATGGTGCAACAAATGATGGTCATTCAGAGTTGGGAAGCGAGGGGGAAGCATGTCCCTTCAGTAAGGACCCGTCCGGACGATATGTAGTGTTGTACACATTCACAGCACGAGATGAGAATGATGTTGATGTGGAGAGAGGAGAATTTGTTACAGGTTAGTTATATTATTATCATCAGCTCACTAACATCCTCACTGAGGGGCTTGGAGCCTACCGTACGTCAGTTGTGACTAGGTCATACTCTGGCCCAGTGCGGGTTGACTATATACATATCTTTGAATTTCTTGGCAGATATGTGCAGGTTGCATCACGATGTTTTCCGTCACCGTAAGAACGTCTGATAAATGTGCATGAAAACGAAAATACATTATTACATGGTGAAATCCGAACCCAGGACCTGCAAGTCAAGTGCTTAAATCCTGACCCAACGACGCTCTCACTCTAATTATTTTTAAATGAAATGGCTATTGACTTATTAAAATCGTGGTTTTTTATTTAACTTTTTAATATTTATTTAGATTTAGAATTAAACATTGTTATAATGTAAGCTTGGGTTTCCATGGTCTCTATTTTTGTAGTTCTGTAGTGGAATTTCATGGTATATTTTCAACAGTTTTAAACAGAGAAGATCCAGACTGGTATTGGATTGTGAGGAGTGACGGTCAGGAAGGCTTTATACCTTCAGGATTTGTGTATCCAGCTGTTAGTCAAGGTTAGTTGTCTATACTAATGTTATAAAAAGAAAATATTGGATTGTTTCCATTGAATAGGCTCCGAAACTACAGAACAGATTATAAAAGTTCTTTCATTGTTGGGAAGATTCCTGGGTGACAGCTTACTAATATTATAAATGCAAATGTTTAGCTAGATTGACGGATGGATGTTTGTTTTAAGTTATCTCCAGGACAGCTGAACGGATCTCAATGAAATTTAGTGTACATATAGAACATAGTCTAGAAGAACACACACACAGAATAACAAGTATTTTCAATTACGCAGTGACTAAGTAGCGGGCAACTGCTAGTTTTTTATTTTAAAAAATCTAAAAAATATTGGATGTTGCATACAAGATCTAGTTTTTGGGAACTAATATACTGTTTTGACCGCAATTATATAACCATTGGTTTAAACTAAATTTCAATGATTAACTTTTTTATATTTTCAGCAACACAACAAGAGAATAATCAGCCCGTACATTCACCAACAACGAATACAAATACAATGATGTCAAATAACTTGTTGTCAAACACATCTCTCAACAACACAACACAGGATACTGAAGGACGTTATCACGGAACTGAACTAGTCATGTTGTACGACTATAAGGTAAGTAAGAATTGTAGATAGACATGCTATAGTGTTGTGTTTTGTGTCTATTTGACTTTCGTCATTTTGTCGCTGACAGTTGCGGTTGATAGCGGTGGCGAGGATTCGAACTAATAAGAGATATTAATATAATTGTCAGAGATTTAACCAGACGCGTTTAGCACGGTACTATACAAAAGCTGTCATTTCCAAGAAATTACCTGTCATACTTCATACTAATATTATAAATGCGAATGTTTAGATGGATGGATTGATGGATGTTTGTTTGTTGGAAGGTCCGGACCGGCTGAACGGATCTCGATGAAATTTGGTATACATATAGAGCAAAGTCTGGAAGAACACATAGGCTTATTAATTTTTTTTTTCATTTCGCGCGGACGGAGTCGCAGCTTTATAAATCGACAGCTAGTCAATTTATAAGGATCGGTGGGAATAGGCAGGTTCAAGTAGAGTTTTGTTACAGGCGCAAGCTCCCGACGATTTGTCGGTGAAGCGCGGCGAGTGGGTGTACGCGGATCTGACGCAACAGACTGTGGAGGGCTGGCTGTGGGCTCACGCACCTAAGTCACGTCGCTCCGGCTTCATACCTACCGCATACGCCCGCGCACCCCATACTACGTCACTGTGAAATGATAACAAACAGTAGTGGCTTTCTGGGACCAAAATCCACTTTAAAAAAATATTGTTATCTCTGTTTTGTCAAACATGAAAGAACAATATGTTTATACAGAAATATTGGTCGCAGAAATCAATGGTTAGATACTCGGAAGCTCTGATGTGTTTAAGTTGATAACAGTCTCCGTTGTAGCACAAAAAGAGTTCAGAGTTGGTCACACGGGGCTTATTAGTGTATATTAAAATACAATCACAGTTTTACTGAATTTCAGTGGAAAAGTTTATAATACTTGCCATTATCATAGAGGTTATGTTGTAGACATAATAAAATAAGAGATGCGAAGATTAAATAAACTTCAATTGTGTGATAATTCCATTCATTCCATTAGTTTAAGTTTGTGAAAATGTTTTTAGGTTATAAAAATTTTTTGAACAATATTTTGCTAATAGAACTCCTGACATTTAACAATGTATGGGACCAATGCTTTATGTTGTAAAAAAATAATTTTTTAATTTTAAGGTTTATCAATCATGTTTCTAAAGTCTTCCCTAGCATTAAGAGTATAACTCAAAATTTTAATATCCGATGAACTCTATTTTGCAAATTATATCCGTCCAAATTTCGACTGATTTTAATATCATGCTGTATTTTTTAACTTGACTTATTGTTAAATATGTGTAGTTTTTTAATAAATACTTCGAAATCATATTTTCTTTTTCATTTATTAACATTCAATCAATCTGATTCAAAATGGTATTACCAAAGGACGATAAAAATAAATATTTACCTTTGCTGTCAATCTACTCCCTTTCTAAATCCTTTTCCTTCACATCCCTTCCTTAATGGAAGTAGTTGAGAATGGCAATAAGTGTAAAATTTGCCTTTTCTATGGTACTTCACCCTATGATTAGGCATATTTGTAAATAGTTTTAGACATTATTAGTTACAATCATTTGGCGTGAATGGCGCGGTTTCGTTACCAAGTCAGTGAGGGACATAAACGTCAATATTTGGTAAGGCTAGTGTTGTGCTAGTACAGCAGCACAGTGTCGGTTTTTCTTCCTAACAGTAAATATAATAGAAAAAAAAAGAATTTTAACAAATTTTTATTAACTAAGACTAAATAAGTTTGTTACATTATTTATTCGGTTTCTAACAGTATATTTCTCTTCTTTTTCTTAGCCTGTTGTTTGATTTCATCCTTTATCGTCCATTCCTTCAGCTGCTCCTCAACTTTCTTTATATCCTGTTCCGTAACAGTGATGGGTAGTTGCAAATCAATTTGTTCACTTCGTATAAACTTTAATGCTTCCAATTTTTCAGTTAGAAAAGGTCCTTGTTGACTCTCCAATAATGTTCTATAGTCGTCAAGCTTCTTGTTCTTAATGTTGTCACAATGCATCTCTGTTAATTTTCTTAAAGATTCCTTTCTTGATAACTTATTGTAGGTACTAGAGCAATAAAAGTATGATAAGTCCAGTGAAAAAGTTCTATAGGTTGATGATTGGAAATGAAGAAAAAAATTAAATCTTCCTAATCTTATCTTACTAATATTATAAATGCGAATGTTTAGATGGATGGATGTTATTTTAAAAGTATCTCCAGAACAGCTGCACCGATTCCCTCGAAATTTGGCATAGACCAAGTCTGGAGGAACAAATAGGCTACTTATAGATTTTAATTCCATTTTTTTAACTCCGCACGGACGGAATCGCGGGGGAGACAACTAGTTTACATTAAAAAAAAACAAATGCTCAGAAGAGCAGGGAAACACCACAATTTTTGAAATTTTGGAAAAATTAAAAATTACACCTATGATGTTTAACAAGAACTTATGACATTTAACAAAAATTTTAAGACTTACTCTGGATGTGCTTTGTATTCAATGTTAAGTTTTTCCAGCAACCATTCAAACTTCTTGTAATCATATTGCCTAAGGAACTTCAACAGTTTTTTTCTCTTATCAATTAGCTCCTGAACTGTTTTCTGTGAATAAAAAATCAAGGAAAACAGTAATCATAACAATTTAAATATAGTACATGTTTTTAGCGTACTTACTTTGGCAATAACATTTTTTGGATCATTTTCCATTGTATCCTGTAAACATCTTATATGTCCAGTCAATCTCGCAACTGAAATAAAGAGTAAACCTCTTATATTTTGTACCAGACTTACTACATGGATAATCATTGATATGTGTATGTTTTTTTTTATTATAAAGTGGCAAACGAGCGAGCGGCCACCTAAAATCACTGAAATAGCGAAGTGACCGTTGCTCATGACATACGCAATTGCCTTTAATCGACGGAGGAGAGGATGCACAGAAAGAAAATATTTTCGCTTCCCATGTGTTCGCGCCTGACGTGCGGGCAACACCACTATAGGTGCGAACCGACGTGCGGTGGCCCGAAACGTCACTTGGACTTCTGCTTTCGACCGCCGATGCATACGCGCAACGATTAATTTGTCTACTTTGCAACTCTGTATTTCGCTAATTAAACCATTACACCAAATACTTGTTTGGCCTGAACACCATCCATCATCTCATCCAAAAAGTCCACTTCCACTTTCCATCCTTTCTTTAATTCTGATCCTTTTATTTAAACTAAGACTAACATATATTTTGGAACTAAAGAAGCAGTTTTAAGATGTTAATATGTTTTTAAATGTTAACATAATTGTATACAAACTTCTAGTTTCAGCAGTACTCTCATCATATTGATGTCTTCTCACTTTAGATATGAAATGTGATTTCACCAATATATTGTATTCCTTCTTTCCAAGATGACCAACTGAAAATATTTTTTTAACCGCTTCCGGTGCACTGAAAATTATATTAAACGTGTTTCCGTAGGGCTTTTAACAAATAAAACACATGTATATATATACTATATATATATATATAGTAACTTTAGTTTGTACAAGACTGGATTCTAATTAATTCTTAATTAGTGTGGATTATAAAGTACGGTTGCGTGATTATATTTTGAATGATACTATGATACTCCAATGGATGTATGAAAGATAAACTTATGAATATAATAATAAATTGAATGAGGTTATGGTTAGGCAATTCATCCTTAACAATATTTCAATAAAAACTCAGAGTACTTACTCTTTAATTTCTTCACTTAAAGCGTAAGCTTGCCCTAAAGCCGTTTCAGGAATAGGAGGAAGGGCTTCCAAGTCACCAGACCTCTCGGCTTTGTAAGCCGGAATGTATTCCGGTCGTACCCATTTTATATCAACGGTGTGTTTAATTGTGCGCGATTGGATTATCAATGGAGTTAAACGTCGAAGCATTTTAGTAATAATTTAAGTTTTAGTTGTAATAACAATCGCAAAGAAATTTTTTTAGTTCCACCACCAATGTTCATTCTATTTTGACATTGACAAAATTATCAATGTCAAAATGACATAATACCAAAGAGCTTTATGTTAAGTTTTTATCATCTTTGGGCTGAAGCATTTTATACAGGTGTAAATGATTCCAAAAATTTAAATTCAGGCTTGCCTGTCTACCTTACATTGAGGCATCAAAGCAAGTTGATTTTGCTGAATAGAGTTTAAAGGTTTCAGGGGAAGTTCTAATATATTGTAATGTAAGTCAAAGTAATATTTCAACGTCAAACATGCAGCTGTTTGTATTCAAAACCCTAATAAAAAAAAGAACATAGGGAAAAGTAAACCATTTTTTATCATAACCACTCATTTATTGCTTCGGAGTATGAACTCTCTAATTTATAAAACCCTTAATTTAGCTGTTTTGTACTAAATGTACCACTCCATGTAACTATACAAAACCTTGCTAATATATAAATCATATCTTTATACATACATTGCAAATATCAATCATTATTCTAAAGAAAAAATATGAAGTCATACTGAAACATTTCAAATAAACATTCCTGAGGTTTATCAATAGATAAAATCCTCTCCGACATCAAAAGTTACAATTTTAGCTAAATATGACTTAATTCTGAAGAGATTTGGATAAAACCTAAGCTTAGTGATAAAGAGAAGAGGATACAGTGTACTATTAATAAAGTATGGTCAATGTGCCCATAAGAAAAAACAAAATTCAATATGTTACAATAAAACAAAAGTCATTTTTACCTACACTGAATACTACTTTTATAATGTTATAGTTGCTAACTAACAAAATTCTAAAAACATCGTGGAATGTTAAAAAAGCCCGTTTTGCCCTTACAAAAAAAATTTTAAAATGGAGAAGCCAAATGCTATATTTTACATACAAACAATTATACTTATATGTGCGTGTAGGTGAAAACATTTTCAATGATAAGGAATGCAAAAATTATGTTAAAATATAAAAGAAATACATTCATATTGGATTTTACAAACAAAGAAATTGTGAAATACTACAGAAAACGTGTAATTAAAACGGGTTGCACAAAGCGATTGTCTTTCATACGCTACTTAATAATAAAATTGCAGCCTAATAAATACTATGAAAATTATATACTTTATTATTTAGTTATGCCTAAAATTATCTCATAATGTAAATAAAATGAAACCTCATGCACATAGAAAAAAGTTTACAATGAAATGTACCTTTTTTAGATCCAGCTATTGAAAACAAACTTCTCTAGTAAACTTTATACTCAAGATATGATAGAATGGATGACATTAGAATTATAAAATAAATACATAATACCTTTATGCCTACGGACTAGATAAGTTTTACACTTAAATAAACCGCGGTTAAAAAATTAGGAACAGCACCAAAATAATTTTTTTTGGAAAAATCACACAGATGAAATAAAAACTGGTAAAACGACCATAACCAAGTTTTATTATCTACTGTTGTTTTTTATCTTTAACGGTAACAAGTTCTATGTCGACTTTTTGGCACGTCGTCGCAAATTGTAAGTTTAAAAAATATTCAAACCTATTTTTCTAAGAGTTTTAAACAGTTTACAATTAGTATTTCCTAATGCAGATGAATATAAATTAACAATAAAAATGTCCACTTAAACTTGAAATTTGACTATTTGAAATTTTATTAATCTGTCACTTCTTTTAACTTTGTGAAATTAAAAAATTATACCAACAAAAAGCTACAAAAAAAAACAACTGGAAAGATAAAATTCTAATTTAAGTTATAAATATATAAATAATTCAATACTAAAAATCTAATTTATTTTCTTGAAATTGGACAGATTATTTCCTAGGTAGCATTGTTACACCATGATTTTCTAACCAAAAATGCCGAGAACAGATATTAAATAAATTATAATATTAAGCCTTTCATACAACACACGGGCAAAGGCAAGATAACACTGGTCGCGCTATAGCTGTTCATAGATTTACACACACGTAACAACATCAACCATTATAAAATGAGCCACAAAAATTTCATAATCCCTGTGAATTTATTCTATTCCTCAATTACAATTCAAATAAAAATGTGCTTAACATCCGCCATATTGTGACGTCATAGCTTGCAAATCGAAAAGTATGTCGAGGTCATTGACCCGCACATTTTTATTTGAAAACATATGTTTTAATATTGTACTTCACGTGCACAATAACATAAGGTAAGTATGACTACATACAAATCAAAATATTGTAGAGAAGAAACGACAGTACTAACTACCATGTTATTGTGACTTCATAGTACTTTCTTAGGATTTAAATACCCACTTAATTTTTTCCATTTATGTATAATACAAATATTTTGTAAGACATTTTAACTCCTCAATATCATTGCAATATTAGATTATTATTAAAAGTTGAATTTATATTTATGAAATAATTTATCAATCACTCGACAACATAAAGTATTAATGTAAAAAGAAATCTTCCAAACATTACGAACACATATGTAGATCACAAATATTTCAATGTGCTATATTTGTAATAATTATATTAAATACAATTTATTTGACACGATGTTTAATTCCGACTAATGTCTTATTTCTTGCATTCATCATTAAATATGTAAATAAGCGAAGCAAACTTTTCAATATAAACACTCTTTTTTCAAGTCCAAATATCGTCACACAGAATGTAACATGTTTATGACACATATTGTCTCTGTCTCAAAGAGAAGGTAAGAGATGACACTATGTGTAATGACAATACAAATGTCATGAAAATGGAATTTCACAGTTGACAAAGCACACGTATAGACCGACAAAGTTATCTGACCCGACAGGCAAAGACAAACTAAATTATGACAGCTCACTAGCGCCCCTCTGTCAATATCAAAACACAGTCTTTTCTTTTTTCTTTTATTGCATTTTCAGTGCTTTAGTAGGTTTAATATATTTATAATATAACAGAACCAGAAGCCAGATATCCTTGTCTGAATATAGTGCATTATAATTTGAACGTTTTGTTAAATACTTTAAAGTCCCTTATGACTCTGTTTACTGAGAAACTTCAACGAAATTGAGACAAACCAATTGATTGTTAATGTAACCGTAAGGTTCCACTGCTGGAACTTTCGCATAATATCTCTCAATTCTCTCAGAAAAAACTGAGACAATGAATCACAATACTTAGATATTTAAACTTTTATTGCACTTCTGTATTGATGTACCATAGAGGAGATGAGTTTATATTCCTGTAGAACAGTTTTTAGAGGATGAGATGTTGAGATGTGAGTTGTCGTGTGCTACCTACGTCGCGTACTCTCTGGACGCCGCCGTGCTAGAAAATTAAACTTAACATAACGCACTTATAGAAGTAACGCTGTACTTTACATCTATTACGAAAAGGTCAGAGGTATTCAACCTTTATAGACAGTATAGTTTGTTTTGTCAACTTTTAAACTGATGCAGGTTAAAGCGCGCAGATGACCTTGAGTCTTTAAATTGATTAACATGGGTAATACCTCCTTTGAAAAAGTCTATATATTAATCAGAAAAAAATCAGAAATTGTCAACATTTCGAAGAAACTACATTTTACTACTCTTTATAACTAAATTTTACTGTTTTACTTCCTACTAATATTATAAATGCGAATGTTTGGACGGACGAATGGATTGATGTTTGTTTGAAGATATCTCGCGAATGGCTCAATGGATCTGGATGAAGTTTGGCATAGATGTAGAACATAGCCTTAAGAATATAGGTTACTAATTAAATTTTTATTAATTTCTCGCAAACGAAGTCACGCGTGTCAACTGTCTTGTATAATTTCTACAATGTACTGACCGTGTCTCTCTGTAGCATCGGCCGGCGTCATTGTTCCCTAATCCCGTTTCTTGGTCTTCCTCTTTCCTATACGCTTGCTGTAATTCTGCGCAAGCGCATTCACTATCGACACAACAAAGTAAAGCACCATTGTTAGCACTAGCTTCTCTAACAGACTGGACACCAATGACCCCTGGTTCTCAGGCAAAGGTGCTGATGGATCCCGTTTATGTAACTTTGACTTCTGGTTACGTAAGAATTCCAATAATGGTGCTTCGAGCTTTGGTCCAAGGTATGGTATCTTAGATACCCATCCTAGGGCTTGTCTGGAATTTAAAAAAAACAGTTTTTTTTAACTGACTTAGACAAACTAAATTACAGAAAGTTATTGAGAAATATCCATAAGAATAAATAAATAATTGCTATATTATTTACAACTATTAAACTAAGTTAACTTTAAAACGTAACAAAGTTGTATATTGCATTCGCAATTTTAAATTGGAATGTGGCTGATCACGCGCCATATTGTGACGTCATAGTTCTAGAGAGAGCTGAGCGTCGGTGGCTCAGTGGTTAAGCCCTATATTTGTAATCTGCAGGTCGTGGGTTCGAATCCCGTCAAGTACCAATGTGATTTTCGATTTACGTATGTACATTTATCTGGGCCAGCGTAGTAGACTATGGCTTAGTCACTCCAAACTTAGGGTAAGCTCCGAGCTCCTCAGTGAGTTGAGTACTCACCCGACCAAAGCTTCATTGAAGGCAATAATAACAAACATCTTCTGTATATGCATCTTGATGACTGCTTTCCCGAGCACAGTTGCGCCAAAGAAGGTCCAGAACGGGACCAGGAAGTGTCCGCAAGTGAGACCGGCGAGGTCAAACAGTGGGTTGGGTATGGAGGCGCACGCCAGTATACCAGCGAAGCCCACACGCTGCACCAACTTCTGCACCATCACCTTAGCTCTATGAAAACACGAACATCGATTAATCGAAGAAAAAAAATCTATATTCCATCGAAATAGAAACATCTGTAAGAAGGGTGTTCTTATACAAAGCAAAGAAAATCCTGAATCTTTCTTGAAAATCGCGACGAGTATTTTCAGGCAATGTCAGAAAGATCGGCGACTCGTGTTGTGTACGATTTTCAACAACATTTCATGTGAACTTCCTTAGTGACTAAACTCTCCAGGTTCCGTTTAAACGGAGTAAAGTTGTTAAGAAGAAGAATGTGTATATTTTAAGGATAAAATTAATTAAGGAAAAAAATAACAAAATATGAAGTTGCCCTGACACCCTATATAAAGGCAGCCTGTCTTCACAGATAGTGCACACTCTCCTGCAGACCGCTGAGGCGAAAGGACGTGTCCGCATGCCACGGTTCTGTCGCTCCTCCTAACTAGAAGAAGAAGAAGAAGAAGAAGAAGAAGAAGAAGAAGAAGAAGAAGAAGAAGAAGAAGAAGAAGAAGAAGAAGAAGAAGAAGAAGAAGAAGAAGAAGAAGAAGAAGAAGAAGAAGAAGAAGAACATAACATTTGAATATAATTTTGGTGTCAGAAACCTACGATAAAAAGAGGAAGTTATAAAAGTGTTCTCACCTGCCGGTTCTAGTATTATGATCAGCGATGTCGGTGAGTTGAGCGAGTGTGCCGCCGGAGAGTCGTGCGGCGCGCGCCATGAAGTACGGCGGCAGCTCCCCCAGCGCGGTGCCCACGCCCCACAGCATGCTCTCCATCCGCACCTTCGACATGATGCTCCACACCGACACCGCGCCCCGCTCCACCGCACCACCACATATTATACTGCAACGTTACAACTGCTTTTATACATATCTTACTTCTTACTAATATTATAAATGAGAATATTTGGTTTGACGGTATCTCCAGAACGGTTCCACGGAGCTCGCTGAAATTTGGCATACATATAGAACGTAGTCTGGAAGAACACATAGGCTACTTATTATGTTTTTTTTAATTCCGCGCAGACGATGACGCGGGAACAGCTAGTCTTTTGTAAAATTCAATACAGATATGATTCCATCTATTAAATATACCACATATTAAGAATAACATACTCATTAGGATAAGGTGGTTCAGGAAAGTCGAGAGAACCGCATTCGTATGCAGCAAGCGTGACACGCGCGATGTGTGGCCCCAAGTAAAGCAGGAACGTATGCAGGCCTGTGCCCAACCCCACCGAGCTACAAACCCCTAGTACCACCCACCAACCCCACCACGCCAACTTCGCCACTGCTAACTGGAAATAACACAAATCGTTACTTAAAAAAAAACATGAACGGGCCATAAACTGTGTTAATTTGTGCCTATTTGTTTTTCATCATTTTCTGACGATAAGTAACAAAGTTCGAAAGGCTGCGCGAACAAAATCTAATTCTTTGTTAAAAAAAATCGCCGACAAACGTACCTGGACAAATGGTTGATGCGGTCCACCTACATAATATGACGTCACAGTACCAGCTATCAATGATAATATTACTAAAGCTAGTAACTTGTAGGCCAGCAACCTGGAATAAAACGATAAGTAAAAAACAACTAAACTGATTTAAAAAAAAAAATCTTTCTTTACCTATCCATCGACCAAAGCATAGCATATTGCTATACTGTTTGTTAAAAAAAAAAAACTATTTCCAACTGTCTTTCCGAATTGCGTAGGCAAATTATAAATTGATGGCTTAATAAATATTGCCTGGTTAACATTATGCCAGTATTAAAATTAAAAATTAAAAAAAATTTATTGACACAAAAAAAAAACATTTTCACAAAAAATTTATGGCCTCTGTCTCCTGAACTAGTGTACTGTGTTTCAGGAGACAGCACCTTCTCTTATGTATTGCCTAAAGTTTATATAGATTCTTAACATATATGTAATTAAATATAAATTACTGGACAGTATCGCTGGCTTGGCTCTAACTGTCGTGTGTTAGTGTTTATATTTCGCCATCGCTTATTTTAAGCTGTACCTACTGTCTTACTGTACTGGCTTAATGTAAAAGGTTCATCACACTCACCTTTGCAGGCCAGTTGAGATCAATATAAGGAGTTCTCTAAAGAAATACTCTAGCGTGGTGAGCGGCCGCCTCCATATCACCAAACTGTCTGTATCCATTTGGACGGATTTATTTCTAAAAACACAAAAAAAAATAAACCAAACCTTTCTATTACAATGGTTCTAACACTGAACATTTTGTTGACAACCCTATACTTACCAAGATAACTATTGCATTTTTCATCATGTGATAACCCTATCTAACAATAAAGCATGCATAAATGCATGTTCAAATCATTAAGATATCGGCAAAGATCGTACTTCGTGGAACTATTAAATCGTTTACATTCTTATTGTGCATGTTTACTTTTAAAAATGTATACAATATTAATTTATCGATTGCTTCCTACAAATAGCTGCGTGATAAGATAAAGGTATATTTATTTTAATGATATTAATTAATACAAAGAAAAGCAAAAATGTTTATTATCTAACTAATTACTAATATTATAAATGCGAATGTCTAGATGAATAAACGGCGCGGTTGCGCGGTATTAATAAACTTGTTAAGTAGCCTATATATTCTTACAGACTATATTCTCCATCTACGCCAGATTTCATCGAGATCCATTGAACCGTTCTGGCGATACCTGCTAACTTGCGTCCATCCATCCATACATACAAACTGTCGCATTTATAATATTAATAAGATTATACTACTGTAAACTTATGTGTATTTTAAACAACATACTTGATATCTTTGGGTTGCATATGCAGACCGTTGCGCGGACGCTGGTCCGTGTCGTTTTGCTGCACAGCCGCCGCCAGCTTGTAGTACCCGAGCCGGGCCAACTGAAATACAAGGCATTAAAACATCAAAATACCGCTCGGACGCACGTCTGCATGCGGTGAATACCAATCGTGAAATGACGTGAGCGCAACTAAGCGATGCCGGAAGTGAATTGTCTGTGGCTTATTTTATACTCTATGGTTTTAATACTAAGTGTACCTTATTTTCATAAGTTTAATACAAAATCAAATAGTAGTAGAAGTAATATCCTAAGCGGTGTAGTCTAAATTACTTTTAATATTTATATTTAACTTACTTTATATATTAAAGGATCATACCAAAAGATATCTTAGAAATATAATACTTTACTTAATTCTATTTTAGGTACAAAGATTTTAATGTTGTGCATTATTTAGAGAATAATATTCACGGTATGTAAATTTGAATATTAAATTAAAATAAATAAACCTGTGCATAATATATGAATTTTTCATTTGTATACAAAAAAGTCGTTAATGTAGTATATAAAAGTTGTTTTCTTGTTTAGTAGAAACAAATAAATGTTAGAACGAAGTCAAGGACTTGCACGATTTATTTTTGTTAAATTATTATATACTTTATTGTTTTTTTATAAGACATAATTGTATTTTTAGCCTTTTTAATTAAATAATGTTTGCACTTAACGCTAATTTGTTTATGGGTATAACACGATGAGACACAAAAATAAGGGAATAACCTAAGTCAAAACAAAGATCAACTTAAATAAAACCTAAAATATATCAAAATACCAACACTAAGCTAAGGTAAACCACTCAACGACTGTACTGTACGAATTTACTTACTTATTTAATTCTTGAAACATGAATAATAAACGAATAAATTAAGGTAAATTATTTTTAATAGGTATAACCTACCTTTAATTTTAAACAAAGTAACCACACTACAAATCAATTAAAATCATGCACACAAACACACACAATCTAAAATCATGCAAATCTGATTTGCACACACAGATTCGTGTATCAACATCAACGAATGAATACTAAATGTGACATCATAATATAACCGCCGAGAAATGAGTTTCACTTTCGAAAACCACTTCCACTCTCTCTTTCTATCATTTCACTATCACACGAGGCCGAATGTTGCTGGCCTTTGTAAACTTGTCGACAATTAAAAAAACGCGCCAATTAAAAGTCAAGAGCTGTCAACTATTTAAATTTAGAATGTTTTTTTTCTCTTCTTCATAAAAATGTCTGGGTTACGATGAAAAACGTGCAAAAAACATTGCATCGTAAACAATCGATTGTTTAGACGTTGTTTTGAAATATGTCAAATGTTAACAAATGAATTTACGCGGGAAACATCTTTATTGTGTTAACATCGGCCGAGTATGGTTCAAAGGAATGAAAGTTTACAATGTACAATGAATTATTTCTCAGCAGCTGAGAACGTCATCGACCTTCCTGGCTCATTTCCAATACATAATCGAATTCCAATTAAAAACAATAATAAGATAATTTTATGCAATTGAAAATCGCCTTTGTGCTAACAAGAAAGAGTTGAACATCCTAAATTTGATTTTATTAGATCTTCGTAGACACTTTTTAATTATTAAAAATTTGCGACAGAATAAATCTGTCTTTCAGGAGTTATAGAATCTACTTAAGCCAGAAATAAATAAGAGAAAAAGTGTTCTTATAACATTTGTATGGTTGTTTAGGCAGCAATCAACACTATCTAGTGACAACTATACTCAACACACCTCTAACTATTATTACCCTTATTACAATAACCTTAAGGTCGAATATCAAAACAATTAAAGTATTTACGGATATGGCGCGACAAGGTGGCGTGATCGTGCGGGGTGCGTTCGTTGATCCAATGACCCGCATTGCAATAAGCAGCCAACAAATCATTTAGATTTCTATGTATATTCAACATAATATTATCTTACTAAAATTATAAGTGCGAATCGATGAATAGATGTACGTTTGATGATATATCCAGAACGGCCTAAGGTCTACTAATTAAGTTTTTTTTTAATTCTGCGCAGACGGAGTCGCGGGCGGTGTAGTTTATTTCATAAACGAAAGAACACACGTTCAATAAGACGGTACAAGGTCTTACATTGGTTATCCTCAATGCTAGTGATAATTAAATCTTATCAGATTTGAGCCAAACACAAGTATGTCACGTTCAATATCGTCTATCTATGAATAATGCTCACGATTCTCCATAGAAAACATGTTTGTTTGTCGTTGTAGTGTGTTGAATCCCAGTTTAAAGTTGTAAAAATAGAAAGAACTTATATGGCAATCGACAGAATTTATTTCAACCAGGATAGTTCTTAACAACCTACTGAGTTTGAGTTACACAAAAAAACCGTTTTTTTTATATTTGTGAGTTCATATACGAGGAGTTAAACAAAGAGTCATATTTCCAAGCAAACCATAAACGTTACATAAAATATCCAAATATATTTCATACTATTATAATATAATAATTACGAAAGTTTAGATGGATGTTTGTTACTTTGTATCTACAAAACAGTTTAACCGATCTCACTGAAATATGACACGGATGTAGAACATATTCTGGAAGAACACATATGCTACTTACTAAGTTATTTTTACAATTCCATGCGAAATCGCGGGCAAAATTGCTTAAATAAAGCCAAGTAACACTATCAATAAATCCATTCGCACCGACTTTACTTTCTTCACTATTTACAATAGACTTTCACATCGCCTTTTGAAGCGAAGCCAAAAAAATGTAACAGTTCGCCGAACTTTTTTTTAACTCAATATTCAATGGAAATCAACTTTTAGAATGTTCAAACGATAATTGACAGAAACTTTGCTTTTCAAACCCTATATAAGCTACTAAACTCTTTTAATATGATATCACTTTTAGAACTTTGAATCGTAATATTGAGAAGCTGTTTTCCAAGCAACATAATTTGAAGTATTAAAAAAAATTCAACGTTCACAATAATTACGATAATTGTGACTTCGTTAATTAGCAGTAGCATAAATAATTTAAATCTATTTTCACTCATAGCAACACACAAGATTCATACGAGAAATACTGACATGCTAGAAAGCAAATTACAGCACAAATTGATTTATTAAACGCGGGAAATGTTAAACATCTTTTGTCTTTGGTGTTCGGAAAATTTTGTAAATGCTTTTAGAAATTTTTATGTGCGTTATTCTAAGAGACTAAATACCTACCTACATTATAACAATAAAATTAGTAAGTCAATAAATGTTATAAAATGGAACAAATTGAAAACGAAATCAACGGAAATCTCCATCAACAATTTCGCTGATCGAAATTTTTCTATTCAAAAATTCTCTTAGTTAGCTATACTAATATAATAAATGCGTTTCTTTAGATGGATGTTTGTTAGGAGGTTTCTCCGGAACGGCTGCATGGATCTTGCTAAAATTCGGCATACATGTAGAACATAGCATGCTATGTAAGAACATATAGGCTACTATTTTCCGCGTTGACGGAGACGCGGGCTATAGCTAGTTTAAAATGAATATATTTTTTTCACGTAACTTTACAACCGCAGCAAATCGACACCGTATGACGTGTAAGTGTATTTTTATTTAAACTATATCGTGGTGCTAAATTAAAATCACCGGGAACCGGGAACAAAGAGGTTCTCGGACAAAGGAAGAACGAATTCGCGCGGCCGATTCACGCGCAGACTAATTTATTCAATTCAGAAAGCGAATAAATGTCTGCTAAACTTGGCAACAATTCGAGTTTTATTTTTTATCTTCACTCAACTAACTACATTTATTTTAGAGACATGGCTGAAGATTTAGCTGAGAAACGGAGACAGATAAGCGAAACCTCTTTGATTTCTTTTTTTTTCTTCATCAAGCTGTCACCAATAAAACGTGTGACACTGTACAGAATACTAATTTTAAAACGGTAACACGCCAAATAGTTAACGCGCCAAATGCTAGACGACATAATGACGTTCGGATTAATCGATACCCTAATAATATTTAACAACAACCTTGACTGCATTCAATTCGAAACTAAACAAGTCAATCACTAACCGTGTGTTTCCACTGCCGATAGCCCTAACAAAAACATATCATGCCTTCAAAACAGTATTAACTATTTTTCAACAATGGAATTGCACGTTTATAAGAAAAAAAAACATGATATTTCGAATATCCTTAAAAGCCAAATACGCAATAAATTTAATTAGCTCTGATTACTCTTAAGCTAATTTTTGTTTAATTAATTGTAAAAAAATTCTAAAAATAAAACTAATCTATTGGTAAGCCATGCTGAAATTCATAATCAGATTAGTTCGCTCCATCAAGTAGAATCGAACTGTATCTACCTCGTTAGGTTATGGTAAATATGTATATGTATGTATCATGTACAGTCACGTTTATTCGCAGTGTCACACTTTAATAGACAATCGTTTAACCCTCACGTACGTCTCGAAATCAAGAGATTGGTGAATAGTGCACCAACGGCATATTAATAGTTCTACACTCGAAAATGTAATTGCTACAGTAAAGTAACCAAGAATAATTTTTAAATTAAATAAACATCGATAGAAATCTGAGTCAAAGCCTTTGTAAAAACAAGGATGGATTTTAAGTTCGAAGCAAATAGCAAGGTCATTTTTCTGTAATTGAAATACCATCAGCATAGGTCATTGTACATTTTATGTAAATGCAAAGATCCAGATGAATTTTTAAACCAAGCTACACAAGACCACTATTCTGTTTAATGAAGACATGACCCAATTTTAGGTACAAAATCCACAGCAATGCGCCTCCCCTACGTGGCGCAATGTTTAAATTATCGTGAGATACTGTCGACATACAAAACAAATTTTTGTCTAGCAAACTGCTATGAGACTTAAAACAATATATAATACCAAAAATAAATTTTATAAAAATTGTAAATATAATAACATTTCTGTTCATAAAACTGTGGGTCTGGAAGATTATTTTAAAAGTTGGTGGACATTGAAACTTTTGACCTAAATTTTTCGTATACTAGAACAAATAAAAATGTTTTTCTTATCAAGTATGTATTAAGTTTCTGTATAATCCTCCATCTGTTGAAGGTAGATAGATATAGCTATGTGTTTTCAATCATTTTGAACAAAATCCTAAATACATCAGGTCGGGAAGCTTGTACAATGTGCAGTGCACAATAGAATTTGAAAAATATACTATTACTAGCGCATTGTCTAGCTAAAGAATGTATCATAAAGTGATAATTTATTATAGCGAATTTATTTACATCTATAATACTAGACACACACTTCTGCAAATGATTGTGGACAAATGACATCTATTGGTTCGAACACTTGCCTAGTAAACAATGATGTTATAACAATATAAGCAACACAATACTGGCAGCAAAATAATCTAAAAAACAAAGCACAACAACAAATCACACATTTGATATACCAGTTCGTTTTTGTTGCCAGAAGATCGTTGGCCACGTTTCCTGCATTCAGCTCGAAGCTGTTCTTTGTTCATTGCTGCAAGCATTTCACAGGTAGTATTCTGCTTTGCTCTTCCATTGTCGGGTAATGAATTCTGTCTCGGTACAGTAAGAGATGAAGCCTGGTTACGGACCCGTCTAGTACTGGCTGCCTTGGTCATTTTTTATGGCTTTGTATTCGTAAACAATTAGATTATGCAGATACAAAACCTTTGTATCATTCTAATATACTTCCTCCGTTATTCTTGCGTTGGGCCTTGCCTACTTGAAGTAAATGTTGAAGCACAAAGTAATACATATATTTTTAGTGTCAAATGTTAGGAATAAAATTGCAGAAAATAAAATAGTTATCAAAACAATTATGAAGACATTACAAACAAAATTTCATATATGTATTATACCTTTATGTAATACGTCTCTATATATAAATAATTAATATTTTGCGAATATTTAAAGCGTAATTGTTTACTTTTCCGAAAAAGTGCGAATAAGTAATAATATCAATTTGTAAGTCCTATTGCTTTTTCAACATTCACAGAATAAAAAGCCACTTTCAGCCCCTAATTAATAAGCGTTTAGGTTTATATAAATCATTCGGGGCAGTCAGCAGAAATTGATGCAATTTCTAACCTAATAAAGTGAAATAATGTTCAAAATTTACTCACATTTAATTTAAGCCCAAGTTGAAATTCGTCTAAATTAACAATTGAATGAATTTTAAACTATCTTTATTTGTAACTTTACTTGTTTTAACATATTTTTGATAACAAAACAAGCAGCAACCACTTCACACAAAATTATGTCTACAACTAAAATTGGTAGATTATGTTTCGAATACGCGAAGAAAAATAAAAAAATTACCAATAGCATTGTGACTAAACAAAATATATAGTTTAAAAACTTTATTTTGATTTTTTTCTATGGTGTAATTAATGCAGATTTTTATTTGTTCTTTGGTTATCAATTTGAAAAGTATTTCAAAGGTATATTATTTTATTCCTGGGAAGAAATTAAGTTCAGAAAAATAAATTTCATCGGTAGAATATACACGACACTGGTAACACACGTAAAAAGCTGACGTGGTTTTGAGCAGTTTTAAAGTTTTTTTTAACATTTTCATAATTAACTTATATTTAGTTATTATATCCTTTTAAATCTAAGCTAAATGTGTAGAAATAGACGGAACAAGGGTAACTCGTCTGTTGTTGGACTTGTGGCAAACGAGGAAAAACCGTTCTAGATTGTTAACTTTTACCAGATATTCATACATAGTTGTAATTGGTACCTGCTTGTTAAGAATTACCAGAGGAAAATAAAAATGAACGAGCTCTTAGTTTGCAGTCTTCAGTCTTACGTCTTATCTAATTGCCATCTTTTCCGTCATGATGAGTTACAATCTGTGCATCAATCTGTTAACTGACAGGTTGTCAGTCGATGTGCGAATATGACTGTCAAATTTTTGCGCTTTGGCGCAAATAATGCAAAAACAAGTTACTGTCAAAATCATAAGTTACCGAACTGTAAAAATTTAAACTTCAAATTAAGTCCAAGTATATTGTATTATCAAGGCACACAATATCTTGAATTACCAATTTTAAAATTTGGATAACACCTGTTTTATTTTGTCATATATTATGAGAAGAACTTGGGCGGGGCGGGATTTTAATTTTGTTTCTCATTAAGTCTAAGACTCTATTATTACAATGAGCTCTAAATAAAGAATGCGCTGTATTTATATGTTAATTAAGAATATGGAGTGATATAGATAGGTAAGTAATTTATAACAAATTTATGTTATTTTATATTATCAAATGTCGCAAGTAATTTTGACTTCGTGTAAGTAAATAAATTTCTAACATGTTCTATCCTGAGAAAATACTAGTCCCATGGCACAAGTTTTTTTTTATATAAAAGACAGCTAGCCGCTGAAGTTCAATTATGTGTTAAGCTTATAGTGGATGACATTAGATATAGAACAAAAAGGTATTTAAAATAAAAATATCCTTCATTAAAATATGCTGATAGCAATTGTAAGTTAATTTATGTCACATTGAAATATAGATTTTAGTAGGAAATTTATCTATTTCAGTTCTGTGTGCTACGCATCTAATAGCCCTATTTTTTTTTTAAATATGTACAGAATATGGATGACAATATAAACAGCTATGTGTCTTTATTGAAACCTAGAGGAATATTAAAAGAATTACTATGTTCTGAGGTAAAACATTGTTTGTTTTTTAGGCATTTTATTGATTTTAATCATTTAAATAAATAATTTTCTATCTAGATCAATTCAGTGTTCTTTTTCTTCTTTCTAAAATTTCATGATTATTATTATATGCAAACTTTAATTGGTTTATATAAAAAAAAGATATTTTACTTCTTTAAAATTACAATACAGAATACATGTATCCGTCACAGCTCTTTATCTTTGAAGAGAACTCCAGGTTTATCTGCAAGAAAAAAATTTAACAAGGAATTATATTACAAACTATGTTCTTATACTTTTTATCATGTGTATCTCTTACATGAAAGAACATCCAAACTTATAAAGTTCTGTTACTATATTTTCAATGTAAAACTTTTGTTTGTTTGATTGAATGATGTAAGCATTTACGTGTAAACATTTCAACATATTCTATTAAATAGATTATAAAACATAAACAAAAAGAAAATAAAGATGTCGGAAAACAAGTCATAACACCAAAACATAATCCAGGTAATTCAGCAATTGATGATCTTGATACCAAAGGAAACAAGAAAGAATAGTTATTTATCATGTGAATATAACAATTTTCACTTCAATGGCTCTCCAGAAGATAATTTATCTGCAAATAGCGATGATACAATTGTTTACAATAATTATGACATTGGAAAACCTGTCAGTTCACTGTTTAATTTTGACAACAAGAATGTTGACATTAACACTATAAATATGAACATGAAGAACTCTTCTGTGTCTCACGACAATGAAGATACAAACATTACATGCATTATAATTGAGGATTCTAGTGAAGATCTTGAAACTGACTCAGAAATGTGTGGAAATGCAAATATATTAAATCCAGTAAATAAACAAAGTGTTGCTGTCAATTTAGAAATTAAAAGAGAAAGGTCTGTGTCATATGATGACATCATAGAAGAACAAAAAATTCCAATTTTGAACACTAACACCATTGACAAACATTCTCATGTCATTGTTCAGCAACCAAATTATAAATTTGTTAAAAGGGACGTTCCGTTTTGTGTTAAATCTAAAACAGGTGCAAAAACTTTATCAAAATTAGGTCTTAAGAATGGTAAAGTATCAGTAAGAGGTGACGGTTTGAAGCAAAAAACTATTAATGATTATTTTTGTGGAAAACTACAAGTGCATACAAAGGAGTCCGGCAAAAAATTCATTAAAACAGTACCATTTATTAATTCAAGATATGCTAAGGATTTAGTGTTTGATGATGTGGAGGATATGAGTAAAAATTCAGGTGTCAATGACACTTTATTGAAATACGATAAATTTAAAGCGGCGATTAAAGTTTCGAGAGAAAATGACATGCAATCGAAGGCAAGATTATGTTCACCGAAAAGAGACAGCGCATCGCTCAGGCAACAGGATCTCAAGGCGTCAAGTTCTGAGGTACCGCGCAGTATATCACCGAAGCTAAGGAATGGCAGCATCAGTTCATTTTCACCGAGAAAGAACTTGGATTCGATACATTTTAGTCTACCTTCAAAAACAAGAAGCAACAAGACTAATACTAATCGGAATATACCATTTTACAAAATTGTTGCAGGTATTTCAAATTATACTAAATAAGTTTCAATGATTTTAATTCCCAAAGCATAAGTTCATTGTAGCTATGTATCTAAATGTCAGATATGTATTTTATTTGGGAATCCCCGAACTCTGCGATAGTGGCGCCAAAGATTACTTTATAATTATAAATTACGTTTTGTCGGAAGTCGTTGAGCAAGTAACCAAATTTGCGTTATTTTCAGGAACACATTTTGCCGTAGACGCTTTTTCGTACGGTGACATACCAAATGTTAATATTTATTTTCTTACTCATTTTCATTCGGACCATTACACGGGATTAAAAAGGACTTTTAATAAAACATTGTACTGTTCAAAAATTACAGGCAAGTTTTTGAAATAAGTAGTTTTGTTATAAGGTCAAAATTTTATCGATGTTGGTTCCAAACTTAACGAGCCTTTAGGGAATTTTTATTTCAATTGAAACTATTTTATTTTTAGCGGATCTTTGTGTTGCCCGATTAGGAGTGAATCCGAAGCATTTACAAATATTAAATACTGATGATACTGTCAAAATTGAAGGTATTGATGTGACTGCTGTTGATGCTAACCAGTAAGTTAAATTCGTACATTAAAAAAACAATTTCCTTGGCAAATCGCTTCATATTACTAGTATTATAAATGTGAATGTTTGGATGGAAGGATGTTTATTACAAGGTATTTAGAGCTGCATGGATCTCGGTGAAATTTGGCATAGATTTAGAATTTAGTCTGGAAGAACTCATAGACTACTACTTAAGTTTGTTTTTATTTAGCGCGGACGAAGTCACGGGCGACTGCTAGTAGGTTATATTTCGGAGGCGAACAATACTCGAGATTGAGTGAAGAGACTTTTAATAAGCTAAGGCATGCAATTTTTCGACCACATCACCACTTAACACAAGGGATCATGGTCTAGAGTCTAGGTCTATTCAATATTTTTACTCAGGTCAAAGTTGTAACGAAATCTTTTCATTGCGTCTATGTCTTAGATTAGCAAGGACCTATGAGAGAATTAAGGCTTAAATTTCAGTTGCCCCGGTGCTATAATGTTGGTATTTACGTTACCAAACGGGAAGAATTTACTTCACACGGGCGACTTCCGAGCATCGCCGTACATGGAATCTTATCCGGTTTTTTGGAATAAAGATATGCACACCATATATTTGGATACCACGTATGAACAATTTTTTCTTTATAAAAATCTAATAATACCAATCTCAGTCGTTTAATGTTTACTTTTACAGTCCCTTAGTGTAGATTTCTAGTAAATCAACCCCCTAAGTCTCTCTCTCTCTCTCCATCCAGACCCTGATTGCTGCAGTTAATCTAAAATCAATTTACAGCCTATCGTGTTTTCAAGGTCGATCAATTTTAAAGTTTAAAAAGTACCCTTAAATATGTTTAGTAAGTTTTTTTCTTCATTACACAGATACTGTAATCCTCGATATGATTTCCCAACGCAAGACCAAAGTTTGGAGATGGCATTAAATTTACTAAGAGATAAGAAAACAAAATTAGAAGAAGCTGGAAAGAAATTCTCGTCTGTTTTGATAGTCTGTGGGGCTTATACTATAGGTATTTACATTACTTAATACCTACCACACAAAAGCTATTTATATTAAGTTATCATTGAAAATCTGGCCTCAATAATCTATTGCAGTATTGTCATCAAGAAGTCATAATATTTGTCACCTATATAACTCACCCAGTAGTACGTCGATGCGTCAAACACGGCGACAACGTCCCAATTGTGTTTTTGCTAATAAATCCGTCTCGCTCTTTCTCTCACTTCGTCGTATATCGCTATCTCCGTCCTGTGTAGGCAAGGAGAAGTTCTTCCTGGGCATAGCGCGGCGTGTGGGCTGCCTGGTGTGGGCGTGTCCGGAGAAAGATCGCGTGCTTCAGGTGGTGGAGGGTCAGAGCTTCGGCCGCAGTGCGCCACACACCTGCCAGCTGCACGTCGTGCCCATGCGCGAACTTACACACGAGGTCATATACACAATGATGTCGTCATCCATCACAGGCGTCGCCAAGGGAGAGAGGGCATGTGAAGCCTCCCCCCCCCATAGATAATCGAAAAAATATTAATTAAATAAACTTTTCAATTCCTATAGTATCACATAGTTAACTCAAAAACTACTTGTCAGTTTAATGATTACCTTTGAAATAAAAAAAGTTTTTTCCTAGCCTTCCTCCTAGATGATCGGCTGGTGGCGCTTTTATTATCCATATTATCAAAAATCATGGATAACGCGTCTTATTAAAATTCTAATGATGAGACCTGGTATATGACAATTCAGAGTTTTGCAACAAGATTTTGTATGCAGAAGCTGCGAGCTCACCTGGACAGCTTGCAGGGCGCGTTTAGTGAGGTGGTAGCTTTCAAGCCCAGCGGCTGGGAGAATGACAAGGCCACTGCCGTCACCAGGGATTCGGTCACTATACATGGTAACAACGCAGAACCGGATTCTAATGAAAACTAAACCATAGCCAAACTAAAGTTTTTTAGTAAGAAACCAGATTCTTACCACTTATAAGCTTGAGTTCCGGATATTTCAGCACAGTTTCATACTCCATGGTCATTTGACTGGTGACCATTAGGCCTAATTTTAGTCCTGTTTCCCACACTTTTTACAAGGAAAGGATGGCAAATGGCACAAACTAGGAGAATTAGTCCTTTTTTTGTGCGTCTTCTTTGGATTAAATTTAGGCAACGTATCTGCAATTGTGGGTGTCTATGGGTAGTGGTCGCTTCGTTATTTCAGCGCATTCATGTGGCCGCTTGTTTGTTCACAACCTAGAGATATAAAAACACACTTTGTGTACATGAATAATCTCATTACTAACTCTTTCAATGTCCTTTTTGCAGGCATCCCTTATAGCGAGCATTCGAGTTTCTCGGAGCTGATTCGTTTCGTCAAATTCCTGAAGCCGAAGCAAGTTGTTCCCACAGTCGATATATCGGGAGGTGTTAAAACTGTTCAGGTACACATAAATGCGAATGTATGGATAGATGGATGTGAGAAGGTATCTCTAGAACTCGCTGAAATTTGTTATAGATGTAGACCATAGTCTGGAAGAACCCATAGGCTGCTTAGTTTTTTTTAATCCAGCGTGATTAGTATTACATAATTAGCAAATGTGTATGGTTTTGTTATAATTTCTTATTTCTATTAAATTCATCAACATCAGTTCACTGAGGGGCTCGGAGCCTACCCAAAGTGATGTGACTAGGCCATAGTTAACGCTGGCCCAGTGCGGGTTGACTTCACACATATCTTTGAATTTCTCAGATATTTGAAGGTTGCATCACAATGTTTTCCTTTACTGTAAGAACGTCAGATAAATGTACATATGTAAATTGAAAAACACATTGGTGTATGGTTTTATTCGAACCGAGGATCTGCAGATTGCAAGTGCTTAACCCTTGAGCCACTACATTCTGTATAAAATATGAATACGGTATATTGCAGCAATTCTTCCCGTGCCCGCTGGTGTACAAGGAGGACTTGAAGTGCCAGAGCCGGCTGACGGACTACTTCGGCGTGCAGAGTCGCCAGCGCGTCCAGCCCGTCTAGATATACAGGTCTGTGGCTTCCCACTGCCCAACACAAAAACATATCTTCGTCTCCATTTACTCAAAGGAAATGAGAGGGATGGAATTAGGTTTTTGAACAAGAATTTCGGCAATGGAAATCTACGATAAGGCTGAATTTTCCGTGTTGTAGTTTTATCTGTATTCAAAAAATAACCTTAAAGCAAGTTTCTAATATAAGTTTTAAGTTAGTACAAATTTCATATCTACTTAGCATATTGACAGTTTTTTGTCTAATTAACTGCCTAGATACTAATCGAATTAAACGATTTTTACGAGTGAGGTGTCATTTGTCTTATTGCCCGGAGTGTCATATTGCATCGGAACAAAAGACAATGGAAGTAATAAAATTCAAAATTAGTGAAAAAAAAATCTATTACAGTTGATGTTGGTTTGGTGGACAGATACAAATGTAATTTGGACACAAGGTAACCCCGGCGGCGGGTGAAGTGGGCAACAAGTGTATGCTGTCCAGTGAATGTAGGTAAGTCACACTTTTATACTACTTATCGTGGATTTCTGAGACGGAAATTCCAGTTTAAAATATATTATTTTCAGTTGGTCTCTGAAACCCGTAAGGAAAATTTATTAGTACATATTTTGTTGATTTATTTTGATGTAAAGGGCCTAATTGATTTAATATAAGGTTAGCTTCACCCTATCACATTTAGGAGGTAAGCAGAAATGACTTACCGACAAGTATGAATAATTTTTTTTTAATTGTTCCAGGATACATAAACATTGTAAGATGACATTTTTTTCGTCTGTGATGACCTTTTGATAATTTATTTATTTTAACTAATTAATTTATGAAATGTTTTGTTTTTAAAATACTATAAAATTATTTGATAACCTGGAGAGAGTTTTGTTTATTACCAAGCGACATTTTTTTATTTATTTTTTTGGTAATCTAGTACAATTTATTGTTTGTGGATTCCTTCATACTAGCTGCCCGCGACTCCGTATGCGCGGCGTTAAAAAACACTTAATGATTAGCCCATGTGTTCTTCCAGACTATATTCCACATCTGTGCCAAATTTCATCATGATCCGTTGAGCCGTTCCGAAGATATCTCCAAACAAATATCCATACATCTAAACATTCGCATTTATATTATTAGTAAGATAAAACCATAATCAGTTTAATAATTTATTACATGCGTGATCAAAATATTTTGGGAATACAAATAATAAGAGATGTACTAAATTTTATAACTAAAATGACTATAGCTAAGAACAATGGAACAATAAACACAGTTAAAGCAAAGTTCATCCTAAAAGTATCCTGAATATAAAACAGTAACAACATAACAAAAATATCTTCAACAAATGTCAATTTTGACAACCCTAGGACATTCTTGTTAAGTATATTTTGTGACAACCCTCATGGAACAACTTGGTTTTTTGTAATAGCTGGTGAAATCTCATTTTGTTAGAGGCCCAGCTATTCATTTTGTGACAATCCTAACTTGTATTTTATAACTAGCCTCGATAGCCTGTTAAATTTATAATGTCACTTTGCTATCCCTGTTTAATTAAAAGAGAATGAGAGGGATGGCAATAATGTCGGTGTAACACATGTGTTATTCACTATTGTCAGTATTTTTAACTAACCTCTTTAGGAAGTTGCCTACAATTTTGTACACTAGGGTTGTCAAAATATAAGTGTTGTGTGACTACCCTCTTAAGGAAGTTGTGTACAGTTTTAACGCTAGGGTTGTCAACACAAGACAGTATTTTGCGACTACCACCTTACATAGTAGGGCTGTCAAAAATATTAAAACACGATACTGGGTGTTTCTAGTGGATTATCGCAGTTTTCGCTACCCCTACAGGCCAGCATGCGGGCTAACGTCAGCTTATACCAGTGCCGTACAGAGGGCAGCACTCGTTGCGCTATGTTCGTCAACTCGTACGGATCCGTGAACAGATCGTACATCTCTGTAAAACTCTGAAACAAAAAAAAACTTGGAATAGATGAAATTAACTTGGCAAGGGCATTGCTGCACCCCCAGACCTGAAATTTCAATTTAATTATGTAAGAATTAAGTTATGACGATATCTCTTTTTATATCTCTACTTAAATAAATAAATAAATATAAAACCTTTTATTATGAATGTAGGGTAATACTAAAAAAGAGAACCTGATTATCGGCAAAGAGACAGTACTTCATGTTGATCCTCTTGGCGATGTGACGCAGACAACCGAACGTATTGTTCCTCGCGTCCTGGCACTTGCAAGCGTACTCAGGATAACATTGCTGGAAATAATAACATTTCTTATTACTTTCGCTGCCGGACTCGGATTTGTTAAGTGTAATATACTGAAATAAATATAGGTTCAGATTGAGACCTTTGGTGACCAATAAAATCTAAATGCGAAGTAAGAAACTGATTCAAACAATGAACATATAGCCTACACTGCTGGGTCTAAAGACTTGAAATTATCGCCAACTTTGTCATATAAAGGCAAACA